TGTGTTCTCAAGGGCTAAGAGGAAGGCCAGGTGTGTGTGCTGAGATGTACTCCAGGCGGACCTTTGGGAGGATTTCCACGTGCCTTTTCAAGTCAATTCTCCTGTCTCTGTTTTGCTGCCTCCTTATTTTCAGTGTGATTCCGGGCTCTTCAGGGTGAGTTTCCTGGGGCAGCTTCTTCCCTGTTATTACCAGTTATGCTTTGCCCACAGCCTTTCCTGGGGCATCCTGGGGCATCACCGGGCTTTTGGTTCCTTGCCTGGGTGCCTACCACCTCTTGTTTTTCCTGGGTAGGTGGGGTGGGTTAACCCAGAGTCCATTGGTGCCCTGCAGAGCTCCACCTGGGGTAGGGCTGTAGTTCTCCTGGAGAGTCAACAGGTGGCACTGTGACACCAGCTTCCTACTTGAACAGGGTGAAGGAGTTGCCTGCTTACCTGTCTCCGTGGTTGGGTCCTGAGGGCTCAGTGATCTGACTCCCCTGGGGGTGTAGTACCCAGGAGATGGCCTGGTAAATGTTAAGTTGGCAGGATCTGCAATGGCCAGGGGGTCATCACAACCCTAGAATGTTCCAGTGGGCACTTGGAAGGACCGTCCCCCTTGCTTCTGCCCCACTTCCTGTTAAGCCCATGTCTGCCTCCCTCATTCACCCACATAAGGGAGATGGGATTGGTGCAAAGCACATGATCCGTGTCTCCCCGACTTGATGTGGTCGGCCCTGCTTCTCTAGTATCCAGAGATTGTTTCTCCTACCATCTCTTATTTACTCAACCTTTTATAAAAGCATGAGAGCTCTGCCCAGCCTCCAGAAACATCTTACCAAAACAGCTGAATTGAAGTCAGGTATTAGGGAACCACATTTGTCTGCTAAGGATGCATCTGGATTCTCCTACAGCTTGTGTGCTGGCTTTACCCTCTGTCACTGGCTGCACTTAACCCAGACCCTGGGCCCCTGTCTGTCTGCCCTGTACCTTTGGGGAACCCCTTTGGCTCATGGATTCTCAGTTATTGTCCAGAAATGGACAGCGGTGTGAGCAGTTACCCAACTGCGTAACAGTACCCGGGCAGCGGAGCAGAGCGTGATGGGAGGGTAAGCAGTAGGAGGGGGCAAAGCAGGACGTCAGCCATTGAGACCTGGACGTTCTGAAGCTCAGCACCCCTGCCGTGTACCCTGCCGGGTCCTGGGTCTAGAGCCTGGTAGACTCACACTGAGGGGATACACAGCCAGGCAGGTGCATTCATGTGCCAGTGAGGACCCAGGGGGTGGAGCGTCTCAGGGAACGTTGGAGCTAGATCTTGATGGGTGAGTCGAGGGTAGGTGCAAGAGCATGGGGCCCAGTATGTGAGGGGCAGTGAGACTTTGTAGAAGGCTCTGCTCCCAGCTTTGGTGATGAATGTTCCCCACCTGCCTTCTTAGCTGCCACTGCAGTCACAAGCCTGGACACCTTCCTGAAGCTGCTCCCTGTCCCTCAGTTTCCCGACTGTGTGGTCCACTCCATCTCTGCCCATGTCCTTCTTGGTGTTCAGCTGGGCAGAGGGAGAGCCAGGGCTCCAGACCCGGATTCTGCCATGTCCTGAGGGCGCAGCCTCACACCTGGGAGGAGGGGGTAGGTCGTCTCACAGCCCCTCTCTGTGTGCCGCGTATGGGGGATCTAGAGACCAAAGAAAGGTACCGTCCCTGGCCTGAAGGTGCTTGTGGGGGCAGCCAGACCAGGAATAAGTGACTGTGCAGAGAATGAGAACAGAGGAAGAAGATAGCCCGGTGGGGGTGCGCAGCAGCTGCTGGGAGGGGTGCCAGCAGGGGGCTAGAGAGGGTCAGGAGGGGCTTTTTGGGGAAGGTGGTGATTGGGCTGGATCTTGAGTTGTCAAGAAGTGTTCTTGAACAGAAGGGGAGAAGCCACTGCAGATGAGAGGGCCAACCGCAGTGACACAGTGATGAGGTGAGTGAGAACCCGGTGTGTTCCCTGAACAGCCAGTGGTTCAGTGCAGCTGGAGCAGAGGGCCATGTGAGTGACAGAAGAGCTGGTTCGAGGAAGGCTGCGTGCCAGCCAGAGGCTGACCATGGTGGGCAGATGTTGGAGGGATCACTGTAGGGGGTGGCACTATCAGACCGAGACAAAGATCTCTCTGGCTTTCCTTGGGGCATGGATCTTAAGTTTGTGTAGCTGAGGCCAGGGAAGAGGCTCGTTAGGGACTCTTAAATCACTCAGGAACGACGACCTTGGTGAGGGTCATCCCCACTTTCAAGGGGGATGACTGGGAGGTGGTCTGTCTGGAAGTGACACGGGTAGGACTAGAGGATGGCTGGGGCTTGGGGCAGGAGGAGAGGTTGCAAAGTGGCGCACAGGCCTGAGGGCTTGGGCAGAGCGGCCACAGCCTGCACCACAGTGAGGCCCTCGTCACAGGCTGCCTGGGTATGCCTCAGGCTCGCCCACGAGCTGCCCTTCAGGAGGCAGTGAGGGTTAGGGGTCTGGGCTAAGGAAAACCCTGCCGGGGATGAGGTTGGCAGGTGCGTGAGGGTCTCTTGAGTCAAGAGCAGGGGCGCATTCTGAGAGGGTGGCTTGTTTCTTGTGCCCGGTGCTGCAGAGCAAGTGCTCCGGGGATGGCAAGACAGTCCTTGGACTGGACAGTTAGGTCAGTGGTGGTCCTGCTGGTGACTTGGCCAGGGCAAGGCCAAGGTTGGCATGGGTTTTGGAAGGGAGGGAGGGAGGTAGAGCTGTTGAGAGGTGTGGTTCCTGGAGGGAAGAATTATCCAGAACCATCCTGGGCCAGGTTGGAGGAACAGGTCTAACAGGAAGTGAGAGGGCGTGGATAGCACCAGACACTTGTGGTGGTGGGTGGGTGGGGGTGCCTGCTCTGTGCTGAGGGGGAGACCCTGACTAAGGACTACGAACTCGGGCAGGTGGCTGAGTAGGCCAAGATTCCAAGAGACCCCTGGCCCACTGTTGTGCTGGGTTCTGCGTGTTTGCCCAGGCTCGTGTTGGCAACCGTGGTTCTCCGTAGCTGGGGATGGGATGGGAGGATACAGCAGAGAGCTGAGTCCCTGTTGTGTGTGTTGCTACTCTCCCCAGTGCCACCACTACCCTGGGCTCAGCCTCCCTGGGAATCTGGGGCAACAGCCGTTGTCACTCATGGTGCTGCTGGAGTCCTGCCCGTGTCAGCCACCTGCCCAACCTTGTTGTGGGGGGAGTGTCACCCCTGGGCTTGCCTGCCCCATCTTGCCTGCTGGGTCTACCGGCTGGACCACGTGTCCTCCCCCTACCCCACCTCCATCTGGGAGGAGCAGCCTTCTCCACATCCCTGGAATCTGCTCAGAGTTGCCTGCATGCTCTGTGCTTGGAGGTTGGGGCTTAGTCAGACTTGCCTTTTTTTCTAGGGCACTCCAGTGACTTCCCCTGCTGCCGTGAGTCAGGCACCTTGCTTCTCTCAGGAGCTCCCTCCACTTCCAGGGCTCTAGCCCAGTGGGGGGCAGGCTGGTGGGCAGTCGGGGGCTGAGACAGGGAAACCTGAGCGCTGGGCCACGAGGTCCTGGACGCTAATTTTAGAGAGCACATGTCACTGGAAACTCTTCCTTTCTGCCAGGAACCAGCAGCCTGGCTCTGTTTACTGCCAGGGGCCCCTGAAGTCTCTCCCCAAACCAGGAAGCATGGCGAGCATCTCAGGGTACCTGTGAGCCCACACCCTACTAAGTGCTAATTCTTCCCATGGGCTCTGCCGGGGCCCAGGCCAAGGAGGGAGCCTGCCTTGTTTGCTTCCTCTGTCCCCTCACGCTCTCCGCGCAAAGGTGTTCTGGAGAATCCTGTGAAGGCTTGTGGGGGCTTGGGAGACTGGGGGGCCTGTAGAACGGGTAGTCTGGGAGCAGGCAGCCCAGGCTGCTTTGAGCAAGTCCTTTTTGTGGAAATAACGTGGACAGAGCAGAGTCTTTCCTGAGTCTTTCCTTCTTCCCCAGGGCCCCTGCCTGTACCATGCCTTTTTCTGAGCTGTGGCTGGCCTGGGCCCCTGTTGCAGGTGTGGGGGGGAAACTGCCCACCCCTCACTCCGTTTTGACCATTTGAGTTGTTCTTTCTCAAGGGATGGAGAGAGTCTTCTCCTTTCTCTTCCTGCCAGGTAGTATCTCAGGGCAAGGATGGCTGTTGGGAAGTGGAGCAGCCTGTGGCCGCAGTTGCCACCTGTTTGCCACTTGTGGCTGGTGTGGACCTGAGATGTGCGCCTGGGCCCTGATTCTTCATTTTCTGTCGCCCCTGGTCCAGAGGACTGCAGTGTAGTGTGATGTTACCTAACGGATGTGTTCCGGCAGCTGCCTGTAGGATGTACTTGGGGAGGAGGATGGGAAGGGAAGAGAGTCATTTCCATCTGTCGCTCAGTTAGCCTGAGAGGAATTCCCTGGAAATTTAGAATGTGTAGTACATCTCAAGTTGGGCCTTGGGGTCAGACATACAGGAGTGGGGGATTTCAGCCACATCTGTTACTGGCTGTTGACCTTGATCAGTTGCTTTAGTCTGCTGAGCCTTAGCTTCCCCTCTGTGAAACAGGGGCGGCAGTCATACCCACCCCATCAGGTTTGGCTGGCCTGTTGGAAGCACCCCCTGGCACTAGCTGCTCATTTACCAGGACGAGCCTGGTCTTGCAACAAGGAAAACAGCGGGTAGCTTCTCGGGCATAACCAGCGAAGTGCCAGGTTCCTGGCCTTTAGGCTGTAGCTAGGCCTGGCCTGGGTGTCCTGTCAGGTTCCTGCTCTGTGTGTCTTGGGGCTAGAGGATAGGTCTAGAGCTGTAGGCAGCTGTTTTGGGGCAGTATTAATCATTCTGGTGGCAGAGGACAGCTCCTAGGCTCCACCCTTCCTCTTCTGTTGCCAGATCCAGGCTGGTGGCATCTTGCTTGGCTGCCCTGGCAGTCCAAGAAGGCAGATGTAGGCGGGAGGCAGTAGCAACCAAGAGAAGTCCATGCCAGCCATGTTCCCCTCTTCTTTTGCTCACTTCTCCCTTTTTGTTGTAAACAATCGCAGCCTGCTTAGACGCCTGGTGACTGTCATCTCCCAGCAAGCCACACTGCTGGCCTCCAATGAGGCCTTTAAAAAGCAGGCAGAGAGTGCTAGTGAGGCAGCCAAGAAGTACATGGAAGAGAATGACCAGCTGAAGAAGGTGAGTTCACCTGCCGGACCCCACTGCTAGCTCATCAGGCTGCGAAATGTGTGACACCGTCAGAAAGCTGAGGAGGTGGATGGAGGGGAGGACGGGTGGTTTTCGGGATGTGTGTGGGTAGGGTTGGGAGGACTCAGCAGGGAAGGGGGAGCCCCAGCAGCTCTCTTCCCTCTAGCTTTGCGTCTAGGCCAACTCTCCCCCTGATAGAACTCCTTGGTGAGCTGAGCCCTGGGCAGGGAACCGTGGGCAAACTAGTGCAGAAGAACGCAAGATAAACGCCCAGATGTCCTGAGAACTGCTGTCAGCTGGGGGCGAGGCAGGGCCAGGGGTGGCCGGTCCTGGAAGGCTTGTTAGCAGAGGTGAGTGTGAGCCAAGAAGGTAGGGAGACAGATGGACTTGGAGTCCTAGGAGGGCCCAAGTCGGATGGGTGAGGCTGAGCTCGGGGCTCCTTGGCCAGAGTGAGTGTGGGGCTTAGGAGGAAGGAAAGGCATTGGTTAGTTGGGGGTGACTGGCAGAAATTCCCAGATGACAGCCAATTGAGTCATTGGTTTACTCTGCAGAGCTGTTAAGAAAGGAGGCAGGGCATGTGGCCTGTGAGCTACATGTGGCAGGTGGCCCTGCTGGCCCTTCCCTTTGCCTGGTGGCTGGGAACAAGCCGTGGCCCAGTTCCGCACTGACATTTCCAAAGGGGCAGGTGCCTAGGGCAGCTTGAGGAATCGGAGCTCAGTGGGGAGGACGGAGCTGGAACCCCTCCGTCCCTCCCTTCTTCTAGAGTAACCCAGGCCCTTGGCACTTTTCCTAGGAAGCTGCTGTTGGCGGAACCAAGTTGGATGGCAGGGACATGGCAGTGAAGGTGCAGGAGGAGAACAGGAGCCTGAAGGCTGACGTGAAGAAGCTGAAGGACGAGCTGGCCAGCAGCAAGCAGAGTGAGCCTCGCCCTCGGGCGGCCCCCGGCCCCCAGGAGGCTGGAGCCTCTGCTCGAGGCTGCTGCCCCTCTCATGTCAAAGTATTAGTAGCAGACTCACCCTCGGGGCCAGGAGCTGGGTGAAAACAAACGAACGCCACCCTGCTTGTCTAGCCCAAGCCCAAGCATAGGCTGGCTCGGCCCCAGCTGGCGGAGCTCTGCAGCTCGCCGGTGCGCAGGGGGCCCTGGGAGCCCCAGATGCCTGTACACTAACTCCTGAGCGTCTCACCTGGTGCCAGGCCTCACTGTTACCAGGGGCTTTCCGGTGGGGAAGGAAAAGCTGGGGAGGCTAAATGCGTTTTTTGAGATGCTCCTGAAACCCCACCCCCACCCCCGAGGGTTCCTCTGATTGCTTCCTGAAGGTCTCTGTTGACACACCTCTTGTTCTCAGTGTTGAGGCTGGGATTCTGCTCCCTGCCTCCTACTCTCACCCCCAACCTTCTTAGAATGTTTGTCCCGTGCCCTTGGTCTCCCAAAAGTCACCCCTGCTGAGAGCCTCTGGGGTCCCTCCATTGCAGGGCGTCTCCCGATTCCCTCAGCTTTGTGGGCCAGCCTTCCCCCAGGCTGGTGGCTCTCGGGGCAACCAGCAGGGGAGCTTTCTTGAGAGGAGTGGCCTCCTAGACAGCTTCACTGGGGGCAGATTTGGGGCCTGTATCTGGTGGCCCCAGCTAGTGGGCTTTGCATTTTCCATCCTTCATAATTTGTATCATCCCCAGAACTAGAGAAAGCTGAAAATGAGGTTCGGGCCATGTGGAAACAATCCGAGGGCTTGACCAAGGAGTATGACCGCCTGTTGGAGGAGCACGCGAAGCTGCAGGTCAGCACACCTCAGCCTGTGCCCCATAGCCCGCCCCGCACGCAGGTGCAGAGCAGGCCACCCCTGCCATCTCAAGCCCAGGCTGCCTCAGCAGAGCTGATGGGGAAGTCTCCATGTCCTGGGGAGGCTGATTCCCTCTTGCCACAGGCACTTCAGGAGGCCATGGTGGCAGCCTGCCTGCTTTCTCTGTGGCTGCCCCCTCTCCTCCTTTGCTGCTGAGTCTGGGTCTGGAGAAGAGCCTGCCAGACGGTGCCACTTCAGGCCCAGCAGTGGGAGCCCTCCCCTAGGCAGGAGGGCTGTGGCCTTCCTGGCTTGGTACCCAGCATTGGTGCCTTTGTGTGCTCCTGCCCTTATGTCACCTCCAGTCCATTGTGTGGGGCCCCAGCAAGCACTGGACACTCCGGAATGGCTTGTGGGGTGATGTGGAGCCACCACCTGCTCTCGGGCTGATTTGTATCTAGAGCACAGGTGGTCTTGGAATTGGACATGAGGGCCAGGTGAACACCCTCAAGGTCTGACAGCTTGCCTTGGTGTGTGGTGGCCCAGGCTTAGCGCAGGCTCACCAGCAGGACCTGTAGGAGGTGTGCAGAGTTGGGGAGAGCCTGAACTGGGACTGCTATGGGCCCCAGAGAGGGGCTGGTGTTGGTGTGGGGTCTGGCAGCTCTAATAGAAGAGTGACCCAGATGCTTCCGGTTGCAACATTCCCCCCCAGCCCCCCAACCCAACCTGGCTGGCATTAGAGTCATGGCCTTGCTAGAGTGGCACACTCCCACACTGGCAGGCCTTTGGGTGCTGCTGAGGGTGGCATCCCTTGCTCCCCTGGATACCTATCATTTGGGCCTCAGGCAGAGGGGAGGAGTATGCCCTGCCAACCCCGTTTCTTCATTCCTTTTCTTTCCAGGCAGCAGTAGGTGGCTCCACGGACAAGAAGGGGGAATGAGGTGCTCCTTCCCACCTGCCACCTGGCCTGCACCTGCTGCTTCCTGAGGCCTGGCCTCCCTGGTACTTGGGTTTGCCCCTCCTGCACCCCGTTCTGTCGCTCCACTTGCAGTTCCGTGTTCTCCCAGCATACCATAGGGGACCAGTTTCTGCCCCTCAGGATGAGCTTGCTGTCATCCTGGCCAGCCGGGAGCGAGGCAGCACCTGTACCCTAACCAGAGTGGGGCTTGCTTCCCACTTGGTTGAGCCCCCTTTGTGTTGCATGTTGAAGTTGGAGGCTCCGGGCCCCTAGTCTCTGCTCCTGCAGCCAGGTGGGTGGAAGCAGGCAGAGTAGTTTTTCTTGAGGGCAATAAAAGTTGTTAAGACGCGTTTGTGGTGCCTTTGTGTAACGGAGGTCGCAAGGAGGGACCAGGAGGATGGTGGCGGGTGGATCTGACGGAGACCCTCAGGCTCTGCCGTGGGGGCCTGCAGGGTGTTTTCTGTCCACTTGTTCTAACCTCTGAGGATTCCGCATCCCAGGCCGGGCCCACCCCAGGCTCACACTTGCTTCTGTTGCTCCTCTGCCTCCTGCTCCCCAGACTAGGTCCCCCTTTACGGCCACTTGGGGCATGTCTTGCCTTTTGGGTTGGCCGCTGAGCCCTGGGGAGCTTGTGAGACTTGGTGAACTGGTGGGGCTTCCAGGCGTCAGGCTTGTCTGGGTCGTCCGGGTCCTGTTCATCCATCACATTTGGGACAGATAGAACGTGGCACAGTGCCACTAGTCACTCCCTGCCCCACCCCATCCTGAAGGTTTGCAGGATGACCTCTGACTAATGCCAGCTGAGAGAGGACAGCCTCGCCCTTGGCATTGACCTTATGACCGGCCCAGGCAGAGCTAGGCAGCGGGGAGGGGCTGTGGATGGCCCCCTTCCTTGGAAGGCCTGTGGGGAGGGGGGCCTGTAGGTGATACCTTCTGGTTGCTATGCCAGGGCTTTTCCAGGATGTGTTCCCTGACTACCTCAGCCTTCCTGAGCTCACCTTTCTCTGAACTTCTAGAGTCCAAACAGCATGCCTGCAGGTTCTTCCCTGGGTGTCAGGCCTTGCGCCCGGTAGGAGAAAGCTGCCCAAGGACCCTTTCCAACTGGGTGGGGCATTTAGGACAGGGATGGGACAAGACAGTGATGGGGGTAACAGACCCTTCGGCAGAAAGTGAGGCACCTGCCCGGTCTGTACCAGAGGGTCGCCTGCAGAAACCAGCCCATCGGGCCATCCGGGACACTGTTTTCCTCCTGCTCAGAGTGGGACTGCATCCCTGGGCCTCACAGCATCCCCTGACTTTTCCCTGGCTTGTAGCCCAGTGTGTACCACGGGCCTGGGTTGATCCGCTTCCTCAACCAGCTCTCCTAGTAGATTGCAAATCCCCGTGTTCTGAGCATCTGCTACAGGGGCAGGTTCCTGAGTAAATGCTACCGGCATGATGCTCTCAGGACCCTGGCCAAGTGGCCCGGCCTCTGTCAAGTTCTCTTTTTGTGGTGTCAATACTAGTTCTGAGTCTTTGGTGGCATTGTGGCAGTTAGCTTAGAGGCCATTTGGCAAGAGGTGCCAAGGACCTGAGCTAAGGCATGGCCATGGTCAGGGCAGTGGAGATGTGAAGGAGGTGGAGTGAGCCTGAGGTGGGAGTGGAATGGGCCTGTTCATGGAGGAGTTGATGAGGGCAGGGTGTGGGCAGTGTGAGGGGCCTGGGGTACCCGGGCAGGGCCTTCTCACCTACGGAGAGCCAGGCTAAAGATCTGGGAGCTGCCAGCACTTGGGGTTCTCCAGGTTGCTGGTGTGGCAGGAGCAGAGGGTTTGTAAGGTGAGGAGTCTTTAGAAGTGGAGAAACGGTGGTCGAGCTGGAAGAGTGACTTGCTGGGCATTGCCCTGATCCTGCAGGGGCAGATGGTGGTCTTTCAGGGCTGGTGCCACCATGCCAGTGCACGCTCTAAAGGCCAATATCAAGTTGGGGTTGACACTCCTTCCTGCATCTGTGGGGACTGCCCTGGCACCTGTCCAGTTCCTCATGACCATTGGAGCATGCAACACCATAAGCCCGAGCCTGCCCCTGGCTGTGTGGTTGAGGGCCAAAGCCCCTCAGTCAGGGGACATACCATACCTTGCTGAAGAGCCGAGACTGGCCTGGGAGGGACCAACAGTGTGGAGTAAGCTGTCCCTTTTCTGGCAGGGGTCACCCCTTCCCTTCTGCCCAGCTGACATCCAGGCTGAGCACCAGCCTCCTGAAACTTTGATACCCGCCCCCCGCTGCCCCGCCAGGCCTGCCTCAGCTGATGACTGGGCTGGCCCGACCACCCCCCTGCATCTGTCCCTCCTCCCTTGGCCCCATGACTGGGTGCAGCACCCTGCTGTCACCACAGCCGCCGCTACTATCCTTAGAATGGACCTCTCCAACGGCAGGCCTGCCCTGCTCCTTGATGTCTCCAGCCCCCCTGACCTCGGCTGGGCCTTGGCTCAGGTCCTCGGAATCTCGCCAAATGGCCTCCAAGCCCCCTGTTGTGGCTCCCAAGTGATTGTATTCACTATCTTCAATTCTTCCAACTCCTTTTAAGCTGTGAAATACGCGTAACCTAAAACTTCCATGTTAACCACTCTTGTGTCCAGTCCAGTGGCGTCGCGTGCATTCCCACTGCTGTGCAGCACCCCCACCTGCGCTGCAGAACCCCTTTCAGCTCCTCAAGCTGAGACTGTCCGTGTTAGACACCAACTCCCGCCCCCTCCCGCCGGCCCCGGCCCCCACCGTCGGACTTCTGCTCTCTGAGCTGACTGCTCTGTGTACCTCGTAGAAGTGGAATCAGACAGTATTTGTTTGTGTCTGGCTTATTTCTCTTAGCATAATGGCTTTGAGTTTCCTCTACATGGCAGCATGTGTCAGAATTTCCTTCCTTTTAAAGGATAACATTCTGTGGTCGGTGTGGACCGCACTGTGTTCATCCTTTCCTCCACTGATGGACACTTGTTTTGCTTCCTCCCCTTAATCCCACTCGAATCAGGCTTTTGCGTGCACCACGACCCCCATACACCTCTCTGCCCCAGTCTCCACGACCTTGTCACAGCCAGCATTCTGGGGCCACACATCACTCCCTCCTCCCTGCTCCCGGGAAGTGGGGGGGCACCCTTGGGGTCCCTCCCACGCCTCTGGCTGCCCCTCCTCTTCTCTGCCACCTCCCAGGGCCTGGGGCCCACTGCTCTTGGCCAGCTCCTTCCAGCTCAGGGCTTTCGGGGCCACCTTTACGTGCCGAGAACTTCAGGCGTTCCCTCTCCAGTCCAGACTCTTTCCAGAGCGCCGCGCTCCTCACCCACGCAGACTGGACGTCTCTGCTTAGATGACGTGCCCAGAGCTGATTCCCACTGTCCCCTCCAAACCACCTCCTCTCTCCAGTGTAAGATCTGGCAGCTACTGCCCTTCCCAGTGCTCAGGTTCAGTCTTTCAGGGCCTCCCTGACTCCTCATAACCCTGTATTCCAGCACATCGAGCCCTGTTGCCTCCACCTTGAAAACAGGCCCCTAATCCCAAGACTTCTTCCCCGCACTGCTAGCGCTCTGGTCCCAGTGACCTTTTCCTGCTTTTGCGGCAGCTTCCTCCGTCCTCCTCCCCAGCTCTTTGCCTCGCCCAGCCCCTTGTCACCTGCACTGTGGAAGGTCGCCTGTGTAGTGCGGCATTTGAGCAACTTTTGGGAAACCCACAACTGCCCACCTGCCTTCTCCCCTCAGCACGCCTTCCCTGCCCCTGCCTGAGCGCCCTCTTGAGCCAAGTGTTGTTTCTCCCTGTGTGACAGCTCCGTGGGGAGAGGCTCTTGGCTGCCTTCCTGCCCTGCTCTCTTCCCAGTTCCTTGGACACTGCTGGGTGCAGGGACCCTTGGAACAAATCCTTGCCCAAGGAACCAGCTGGAGTTGGAGAGCCCCCCCAACAACCTTTCCACCCAATACAACATTCAGAAGCCAGCATTGGAAAATGACATGTTTTTATTGCTATGTTTGCAGTGGCTTCTTAGCACAGTAAGAATGTCCCCGCTGGACCCTGCACCCTCACCCACCCCGACACCCCCAGCCGATGTCAGGGCATGGGGGTAGCCTTCTAGGGTCCACTTAGCTGTCTCAAGATTGGACGTGACTCAGACATAGGTTAATTAAAGCTGCTATATGGAAGACTTGAGATGTGGAAAGTGCATCAGCCCTAAGCTTGCAGGTGGGAGCCTTACCCAGGATTGGGTCCCTGGCTGGTGCCCACCTCAGATCCCTGTAGTCGTGCCCAGCCTTGGGGGCAGGGTTATGGGCAAGGCTGAGTGTGTCCAGCGAGCAGCCCCAGATCCCCAGGGACAGAACCCTGCATCTGCTCACCACAGACGACTCAAGGGCAGAGGGGGAGCGTGGGGCTGCGTGTCAAGGCCCCCACCGGGCACTTTTCCACCTTGGCTGGGGCCAAGGACTGCACACACATACCCACATGACAGACTTGCACGCTGGACAGCTTGAAGCCTTTGTTTTGCCTATGAAAATTAGATCTATAAATTCACACTCGGCTGGGGCAGAGGAGTCAGAAGAGTTGAAAGGGGCAGGTAGTGGCAACGGGAGGGATACAGGGCTGTTTTCTCTTTAGAAATAATACAAGCAGAAATCTCTCTCCTCAAGTTTTATAAAATGTGCAAAATATAAGCCTCATTTGCCCACAGGCACAGTTTACACCTGGTATTCACTTTTGCTAAGAGCTAAAGACCCTACCTACTCACACTCATGCACTCTACACAAGCTCACACAGTTGATATTGGTGGCGATTGGCGCAGGAACCAGAAGGTTCCATTGCTGGCTGGCTCTCTAAGCTTCTAGAGTAGGGATGGGGAGAGGGGTCTGGCCCAGCTGAAATACTTGCCTCGGCTCTGCTGGCACCCCTTGTTCCCATCCCCTGTCGTGACTCCTGTTCCCCAGGCCATCACTGCTGCCCACTACATCTGTCCCACCCCAGGTGAGGGGCCACCCAAGGGGGTGTTGGGGCAGAGCCTGGCAAGGCAGGCATGGAGGGGTCGGGTGAGGTGCATCCACGGCGGGCAGCAGGGCGAGGGTGCTTGGCAGGGCCTGGGGAGGCAGCGTGTGCACCAGCTTGGGTAAGAGGAGTGGTGGGGTGGAGCAGGGGGGAGGCATCTATTTTTGGTGGATTGTGATATTTTTGGCGTTTTATTAAAAATGGAAAAAGTTACTTTAGTTAGCACTCGTGGTGCTTTCCCCCCACCCCCAGGCAGACCCCAAAAGTGTCAGGGAAAGGCAAGCCCCCTGGAGGGGGGGTGGGCTAAAGCAGGGGCTGCTATGGCTACAAGAGGGTGAGCTGGTGATGTGAGTTGGGGTGCCTGTCACATGACGCTCTCCACCACCACCACCTTGCTGCTCTCAGACACTGGGGTCAGGGTGGTCAGGCCCCTGACGTCCGAGTCCTGAGCTCTGTACTCCAAGTGGTGGAGGCCCCAGACAGGCTGTGTCAGGTGCTGCCAGCGCTGTAGGAGAGAGGAAAGTGATGAGTCCCTGGGGAGGGGTACCTGCTCATCCTTCCCCACTCTCCACTTCCTACTGCCTGCTTCCAACTAGGGCCCGGCCCAGACCGACAGGCCCTACTCCCTGCATTAGGGAGACAGGGTTGAAAGGCTGTTAGGACGGAGGTAGGGCCAGGCCTCTCCTATCTGGCCCAGCGCCCTGAAGGACCAGCTTCCCTGCCTTCCAATCCCAGCCAAGCTGGCCAAGGCTTCTGGCAGAATGGCTGGCCCTGGTGGGTGGGACAATGGGCACCCTGGGGGGACTGCCTTGACCTGAAGGAAGGGAGGGGGTGGTAGAGGGGGGAGGGGGCATAGGGGACTGACCTCAGCCATAGTCCCCTTGGCCCTGACGAGGCAGCCCAGGAGGTGGAGCGGAACACACAGCATGGAGGAGAGTGCGAAGCCCCAGCCTATGGCTTCACCCCACCATGGATACACGTAGGTATTGTTGTAGACCAGCGGCTTGTAGTACACCACGTTGAAGATGAAGATGCCCTGAAGTGAGAGCCCCCCCCACCATGCTCAGCCTTGTGGCAGTCCCTTGCTGCCCCTCGCCCTGCCCAGCCCCCCAGCCTTTACCATGCAGACCAGCGGGGTGAAGAAGGACCAGCACCATTTCATCCAGGGGCAAGGTCGGTAGCCGATCATGCAGGCAACGTCGTCCATAAAGCGGTCAGCTCCTGGGGTGGGTGAGGCCAGAGGCCCAGGGCTGGAGACCCCACCCCCCGACTCTCCCACCCCTGCCTTGCACCATGCCCCCAGGGCCCAGACATACCATACACCCAGGCGACCACCACGCACTCCCAGAAGGCCTGCCAGAGCAGGGTCGTGCCGCTGGCCGAGTAGTAGTCAAAGAGCTGGAAGACGTACATTCCGCCCTAGGGGTGGAGCCGGGTCAGAGAAGGCAGCAGCTGGCAGGGGAAGGCCACGGGCAGCCCCCTCCCTGCCCCTACTCACATCGGTCACCATGGAGAGGTCGATGACAAAGCAGAGGGCGCAGCAGAGTGCCACAGAGATCTCCCTTTGGAAACGGAAGTAGTAGGAGGCCGGGAGGAGGTCAAGCAGGCCAGTGATGAAGCCTTCCACACCTACGAACTGTGGCCAGGCGCCTTACCCACTGGCTCCTCTCACCCAGCACCCTACCCCCTGACCCGCTGGGGCTGCCCCGTCCTGCAAACCTGGCTGTCGAGGCCCAGCAGCAGCAGCATGAAGAAGAATAGAGCAGCCCAGAGTGGGGCCACAGGCATCAGTGTGACAGCCCTGGGGTAGGCGATGAAGGCCAGGCCAGGCCCTGAGGGGACAGGGGCAGGGTCTGGACACCTGCAGCTGGTGTCCACATCCAAGCCCTGCTTTCCCCTCCCCCAATGGCCCTGTGGTCCCGACTAATGGACACCCTGTACCCGAGGGGCCTTTCCAATTGGCTCCTGGCAGTTACTTAGTCACAGGTCCCCATTAACCCCTGAAAGGCCCCCCTTTTCTTCTGAACACTCATAAAAATGGACATACCATGAGGCCCCTGGAGAGTGGGGGTATATTGGGCTTGAGGATCCATGTGGCCCAGCCCCAAGCTGGCTGGAACAGCTGTGCCTTGCAGCTGCTCAGCCAGGCCTGCCTCTGGCCCAGAGCAATAGGACAAATTGAAGGGATGTTTCACCTTGTTTCCCAGAATGTCTGCATGTGTGTGTTTGTGTGTATGTAGTGTGTTAGAGGCTTGCGGGTCTTTACCTGATTCTGCCACCTTGGAGATGTGCACACCCTGCTCTGTGGCCATGAAGCCCAGGATGGAGAAGACCACGAAGCCAGCAAAGAAGCTGGTCCCGCTGTTGATGAGTGCAAGGATGATGGCATCCCTAGGGCGGAGGGGACAGCGTGAGCTGGTTAGGCTGTTTGCTGTCTAGAGGCCAGCAGGGTTGGGGGAGGCAGGGCTGTGGTGCCTACTTGTAGCAGTTGTTGTTGAAGCGATTGTAGCTGCCCAGGGCAGTGAGGGCCCCCAGGCCAATGGCATAAGAAAAGAAAATTTGGGTCCCGGCATCTATCCATACCTGGAGATGGGCCAGGGGAGAGTGGATGTGAGGGACCCTGCTGGGCTGCACACACACCTCCACCAGCCCCCGACCTCCCCCCGCACCTCCACTGCACCTGAGGGGACCCTAGCTTTGACCAGTCAGGCTTGAGATAGTAGATGATGCCGTCCAAGGCGCCAGGTAGCAGCACTCCGCGCACCAGCAGTACGACGAGGACCACGTAGGGGAATGTAGCGGTGAAGTACACGATCTGGGGGCGGTGGGCTGCTCAGTGAGGCCCTGCGGCGCCTGCCTCACCCTCTGAGGCCCCCAGCCTGAGCAGGACCGGCTGCACAGACCATGGTCCCTGGCTCCCGGACCATGTGTTCCGAGTAAGGAGAGAGCCAGCCAGCAGCCCCCACTTCTCAGAGCCGCGGCTCCACGCGAGGAAGCAGGATGCTTGGTGGGGCAACAGCGGCCGCATGGCCAGCACAGGTCAGCTGCAGAGGGAGGGGACAGGCAGGACCCTCCCCAGGAAGGGAGGCGGGGCATCGACATGGGGGCAGGCCCCACGCCTCGCGTGCCCCTGACTCCAGGTCACCGTCTGCACAGCAGCGGGGTCCTTGGTACTTGGGGTTAGACCCGGGCCAGCCAGCGATGGTGGCAAGAGCAGGGCGGAGGGCAGAGGCCCCTGTCCCCTGTCCAAGTGGGGCTGCCCCCCTCAGCAGAGCAGGATAGGTGCGTGAGAGAGACCAGGTCCACCCAGAGTGTCCCAGTGGACTCAGAGCGACTGAGGGACAGAGAGGAACGGGCAGCTGCTGCCTGGGCTTCTGTTCCTCAGGAGGGAAGGCCACAGGGCCTGGACTTGGAGGGAGGGGAGAACCATCCCATCGCTAGGCAGTGATCAAGTAGCCTGGACTGAAGGGGCTGCCCCGCCTCGGGCCCTGGCCTGGCCGCTTCGCATTGCGACAGTGGTCCCCGGCAGAGATGTGGACACACCTGCCCTGATGTCGCCCAACCCCCCCAGCCACCCCCCCGCCTCGGTTGTACCTTTCCTGTCGACTTGACCCCCTTCCAGACACAGAAGTAGACCAGCACCCAGCAGGCCAACAGACACAGGGTCACCTCCCAGTTGAGGGCCCCTGGCACCTCCAGCCCCTCGGAGAGCCGCAGAACTTTGTTCCTGCGGGAGCAGGAGCCCATGAGGGCTGAGCCAGTGGAGGGCGAAGCCACAGGGAGCTGTCCCAGGGCTGCTCCTCTTCTCCTCCTGCAGCCCTTACGCCCAGCTGGGCCCTCCTGGGCACCCGGATGGGCCTGGTCCAAACCTGTGGCCTGGCCTGAGGGCATCACCGTGAGTGTGCCTGGAGCCTGAGAGCCCTGGCAGGAGGTGGCAGGGCTGGTGGCTCCACTGCCTGCTGCTCCCAGCATGCACAGCACCACTCCCCCCTCCCCCAGGCTGGCAGGACGGGATGGCATGGCGTGATGGTGCCGAGTGAGAAACAGTGCTGAAGGAGCAAGGCCCATCTGTCCTGGCGCCCCCTGGGAGTGGCCTGGGGGCTCCCCAGGGGCAGGCAGGGCCTGGGAGTGACTCCTGCTCCGCACCCCGCTCCCGAGGCTGGGCCCCTCCTCGTGCTGACTCGGGCCACGTGTGGAGCCCAGAGTGGGGGACCAGCCGGGTCTGGCCCAGAGGGCGCCTGACTCACTCCCAGAACTCGATGACAGGGGACCGGCGGTCAGCAAGCTGGTCACATGTGAGGTTGGCCAGGCTGGCATTGGCACAGTCTTCATGGCGGAAGATCTCCACGCAGTCAGGAGTGTTCCACATATGGCCACAGGTGGCCCAGGGTAGCGTGGTGGTGAAGGACTTCACCAGGTAATAGAAGCCCCAAGCCAGCACCATGATGTAGTAGGTGTTGCAGTAGAAGACGATCACCATGGAGGCATAGCCCAGGCCTGGGGTGGGGAGCGCAGTCCTGTGTGGGTTCTCCTCTGGCCAGCTCCTTGCTGCCCACGTCGTCCACCCTACCAGGCCCTGCCAGTGGTCCCTGCAGGGCCTCTGACCTCCTGCTCCCCCGCCCCCCCACCCCCACCCCCACAGATCATTCTGTTATGCTCCGGGGTGCAAGTGTCCCAACGCTGGGCTACCTCCCCAGTCTGTGCCCCCAGCCCCCCAAATCAGCCCCTGCTCCTGGCCTCACCTCCTGCACCCTCCCCAGACCCGGGCAGAGTCTGGCCCCCTCGGGAACGTTAGTTAGTTCAGTCCTGTTGATTTCCTAGCCTCACACACCTGTCCCCTTCTCTTAGGTCCCACTGCCACCACGGTGGTTGAGGGAGGGCCAAGCCTCCACCTGGCCCCCTCAGTGGCCTCTGGTACTCAGCAGCAGGGGGCCTTTCTGGTGACCTGGGGTGGTGTGGGAGACAGTCACCCGCTCAGTGGGCTACCTCAGCCAGTCGCTTCGCCTCCCTGTGCCCCAGCCTCTTCCAGGACGGTCATAGCAGGACCTGCCGCCTAGGGCCCTGTGAGATGATGGGGGACCCTGCCCACACACAGAAGGGGCTGTAAGGTGGCCTTCGCCATTAGTCCTTTCCTTCAGATGCTGCACCTTCCACAGCTCTGGCCAAGCGCCTTGGGCTGGCCTGGCCCCTCTGGCCTTGGGAGAGCGGCTCCCACGGCTTCTCCTGCCATTGTCTCTCGAGTCCAGCCACCCTCTGCTCAGCCCAGTGAGCCGAGGGTGCTGGGCAGAGCCTGTCGCCAGCCCTGCTGGGCCTGGGCGTCCTCGCCCTGGTGGAGAGGCTGAGTTCCGGCTCTGTCCCTGCCTGCCCAAGGTCACTGCGTGCTCTGCGTGTTGTCCAGGTTCCCACTCGGGACTTGAAGGGCCATCCCCAGGCGTTGGGCCTGTGCTCAGGGTGAGATTTCTCGAGTGAATGCCAGCCTTGCTCTAGCAGTGGCAAAGGGGGAAGGGCCCCTGAGGGAGCAGGTGAGAGGGGCTGGTCCCAGGCTGCTCACCTTTGAACAGGGGACAGATGTTCCAGACATTGATGCTGCCAGCCTTCATAAACTGGCCCAGTGAGATCTCCAAGAAGAAAATGGGGATTCCTCCGACCAGGGCAATCAGGACGTAGGGAATAAGGAACACACCTGAGGGAGGAAGCACAAGGCAGCCACTTGCACAGGGCACCCTTCCCTGTAGCCAGGAGGGGACATGACTCAACCCCCCCAGCCAGGCTGCACAGGCCCAGCCGGCTGGCCCGGCTTTCAGAAGCCCTGGGAGGCTGGGGTGGAGCCCCATCATAACTTCCCACTGGGTGAGTCAGTGCGGGGGGTGGCCACTGACTCAGAGGCGTAAGGCGAATAGCCTTGGGAGGGAGTTGGGGTGTTCGAGGGGGGCTATGGCAGCTCCTGGGCCCTTTGAGTCCTGTACCCTGGGCTGGGAGGCCCTACGCCCCACAAGGCTTCCATCCCCACGGTCACCTAGGGTGACCTAATGGGCATGGAGGGCACAAACACTTGCAGATAAGCCATCATTTGTGTCACAGTTTGTTTGCCAGGCAGCATGGGAAGGAGTGGCAAGGGCACGTGTGTATGTGCATGCGTGTGTGCACCACGGCTGGTGGCACCCAGGCCTAGTGGCCTGCCTGACTTGGGTGAGGGCAGAGAGCCCCTGCCTTCCCTGCACTCAGACACTGGCCTGCAAGTGTCAAGGTCCAGGGAAGAGGGTGGGTGGGTGGCAGCCCTCTGCCAATAGGCATGGGAGGTTTTGTGAAGGTGTGAGTGAGCAAGGACAGAGGGAGACAAGGTTGGGGAGGCTGGTCAGGTACTTACACAGAAGGCCTGGTGACCCAGGCTCTGGAGGTGGCAGGCAGGGCAGGGCCAGAGACTATAGGCCAGGACTGGACGGTAGGGAGAACTAGGCACCAGCACCCCTCTAGCCCCTGCAACTCCTCTCCATGCTCCTGACCCTTGCCCCTGGCTGAGCTCTCTCCACTACTCAAGACGCTCAGGCTTGGCTATAGCTTGCTGGCCTCCTGGTCCATCCCAGCATCCTTCTGATGTGTGACCTTGGCCAAGGCCTTTGCTCCTGGCCTCAATTTCTCATACATCACCCAATCACTGAGGCTTCCCACCAACCCTGCTGCTGCTCTGCAGTCACAGGACACGTGTGTGCCCATCGCTGTTGCTAAGCTGGGCTGGGGCAAGCGGGCGGGCGTGGAGTGTGCATGCAGTGTGTCCAGCTGTGGCGCCAGGCGGCCCAGGCCGCAGGCTTCCCAAGCCTGGCTCAGGCACCCAGTGTTCCAGGCCCAGGCTAGAAGGGAGGGAGGGAGGGGAAGGGGAGGGAAGGGAAGGGAGGGGAGGGCAGGGGAGGGACAGAGTGGCCCATTGTGTGTTTGTGTGTTCGTGTGTGCACACGTGGGGGACCCACACAATGTGCTACTTGTGTGCCTGGCCAGCGGGGGCAGCTAGGGCTGCTCACCTCTGGGAGCCCCCCTCCCGGGGGCCAGGCCTCGCCTTCCCACCTCGGTGGCCAATCAGTCTAGGCCAGAGCGCCGGGAGTCTGCGGGGGCAGCCCCGCGCAGGGTTTCGGCAGGAGGCTCGCTAGCCCCCTCCCCCCCCCCCACTGCCAGGCACATGACTGGCTAGGGGGGTGGAGGCCGCCAGGCTGGGCCACCGAGCGGTGGCGGCCGGCGAGGGGCGGCCTCCCCCACCCCCGGACTTCGGCCCTGCACCCCAGTGGGGCCGGCGGCGGGCGCGGGAGGGGGCCCCCCGGCGAGGTGGCCCGGGGACACGGCGGGGCGGGGGCGCTCACCTCCGCCGTTCTTGTAGCACAGGTAGGGGAAGCGCCACACGTTGCCCAGGCCCACGGCGAAGCCCACGCACGACATGATGAAGTCCATCTGGCGCGTCCAGGTCTCGCGCGGCGGCACGGCCAGGCGGCCGCCGGGGGCCCCCAGGCCCGCGGGGCCGTCGCCCTTGGCTGGGGCCCCTTCGGGCCCGGGCGCGATCAGGGGGCCCTTCTTCTCGTCGCCGGACACGCTGTAGATGCCGTTCTCGGCGCTCTTCTTCGCCATGGCCCCGGCGGGCCGCGCGGCCAGGTCGGGGGGCGCGGCGAGGGGGCAGCGGGCGGCGGGGGGCACCGGCGGCGCGGAGGGGCCCGAGGACGCAGGCCCGCCGGGGGCCGGGGCGGCCGGGCCGGGGGTCGGGGCGGCGGGCGGGGTGCGGGACGGTGGGGGCGGCGCGGTCAGAAGCAGTCCACGAAGCACTTGAAAGTGAGCCTGAAGAATCTCATGTGTGTCGGGGGCCCGGGGGCGCGCGGGCGGCTACGGGGCCCGGCCGGGCGGCGGCGGCTCCCGAGGCTCCTGCCCGCGGCTCGGGCGGCGGCGGCGGCGGCGGTGGCGGCGGCTCGCCCGGCCCGAGGCTCAGCCTAGCGGGTCGCGGGCGGCATCGGGCTCCCACTGTGTGCAGGCGGCGGCCCGAAGTGGGGCCTGCGGCCCGCGACCCCTGCCCCCTGCCCCGGCCCGGGCCCGCGCGGCTGCCCGGCTCGCCCGAGGCTCCGGCGGCGGCGGCGGCCCGGGTGCGCTCGCCCCTCCTTCGCGGCGGCGGCGGCGGCGGCGGCTCCGGCCGCTCCTGGGGCCGCGGCGAGCTCAGCGACTGGCCACCGCGCTCCGCCCGTCCTTCTCTTGCCCAGCCCGACCGGCTGCCGCTTAAGAACGACTCCGGGGTGATGTCACTGCTGCCCCACCCCCACGAGCGGGCTGGTCCCCCTCCCTCTCCTCCGTCCCTACTTCCCGCCCTCGGCGACACTCCGCCCACCTCCTGCCTGCCCTCCTCCGGAGAGGGAGACGCCGCTCCAGCGGGAAGCAGGATGGCTGCTACCTGGGGCGCGCGCCAGCGCCACCCTCCCAGGGGCCGAGCGGCCCGTGACCCCAGGTTCACCTGGGCCGTCTTCCGGCCCAGATCGCCCTCCTAATCCTCCCCTCCCGGTTCTAGGAAAGCCACTTCTCCGGCTGCCTTCCAGCCATCCTGGGCCCCTCTACCCTTCGCCCCTTCTTCCAGCCTGTCCCATTTCTAGCTCTTCTCCGACACCCAGCTGCGGGCTGCGCCAGTGCTGGGTACCCAGGCCTGCAGCTTCCAGGCTCCCTGCACCGGAGTGGGTGCAGGGTGTTTCCCCCCCTCCCCCCGAACGGTAGGGCCCAGCTGGTCAGCAAGCAAAGGAAAGGCCGGGGTGGGGGTCTGCCTCCGGGTGTGCTGTAGGTCTTTGCCAGAGGCACCACCCCGGCTCCTACTGACGTCCAGACCCCCAAGGGGCACAATCCTTGAAGCTGGAGATCAGGTTCCAGCTTTTGGGGTGACAGGTCTTTATGAGCGTCCTAAGTGGGCAGAAGGCAGCCCACCTAGTGGAGGAGCAGGGCTACACTTTGTCACCAAGGTGAGGTTACCTTAGGGACCCTTGCCGCTCTCCACCCCTGCGTGACCCGCTGGAGACTAGGGCAGGAATAGGGTAAGGCTGCCCCCTGGTGCCTGGCGGGTGCACAGACCCTCCCCCAAAGGCCTCAGCTGGGAGACCCCAGCTTCCCACCCTTGTCACTTGTCTTCCCAGGGACCTCCAGGACTCCTAGTAACAGCAACGCTGTTCGGCTGCCTCCCCACAGGCTGAATTTTCCAGGGCCAAGTGTAGCCATGGGGTGGGGATGGAAGGGGTCCTTGGGTCATTGTCCTGGCCAGGGATGTGAAGTGTGATGCTCCCCCCAGCACACACCAAGTTCTAGCTCACTGATCACCACTCTGCAGTCCCCAGATGGCTCATCCCGTTAAGCTAAACCCTTGGCCATCCAGCAGCTTTAGGAAGAAAAGCAGTTCTGGCCTGAGCCAGATTGAGCCTGCAGGGTGAGGGAGGGGCAGCATCTCCGCCCTGACACGCAGGGGTGGGGCAAAGTCTCAAGGCATGGGGGGGGGAGCAGGGGGAGAAAGAGAGCCAGAGAGAGAGATGGGCAAGGTTCCCTGGGCCTAGGCTGTGCAGGGGTACAGGGGCAGGGGACCCCAAGGTGGCCATGTCACACTGTTTCAGAAGATCCTAACTTGAGCCTTCTCTGGTGCTGGTTTGGAGACAAAGAGGCAATAGAGAAGGATGTGACCCACAGATGGCATGGAGAGGCCGTTGGGGGGCACTGGGCATGAGGACAGAGAGGGAAGAGGGCAACCCCAGTGAGCTGTAGGCATCTTCTGTGCACATTTGCCAGAGGAAAGAAGAGGGTCCTGTGACGTAGGCTGAAGATTTTGTCCTGGCAGGAGGAGTGGCAAGTGACTGCAGGCCGACGCCACACAGTGCAGGGGAGAAGCAAGGGATGTGGCGCCGTGCAGGTAACACTGTCACCAACTGAAGATCTTGCTTGTCCAAGCAGTGTGGTGGGAGAGAAAGCAGTGGCTGCAGAGGACATGGGTGACGCAATGGCACTTTGGGGAAATGGCCATCGCTGTGGGGAGGCAGGCGGTGAGCAGAGCAAGGCAGAGGGAGCCTGAGAAGAGCAAGAAGGCAGTGGGCGGTGGCCCTCCCTCACCCTGGCTGGGTGGGGAGGCAGGTTCAAAGGCCAGTGGCAGGAATGCTAGGGAGCTGCCACCTGGGGCTGCTGGGGGGTCAGAGGTTGCTGAGAGAGTGGTGGCCTAAGAAAGAGACTCGAAGTGGGAGGTGGCTGCTCAGAAGGGCCTGTGTGACCTCTGAGCCTCCTGGGGCGTCTCCAGACGCATGGAGCAGGGGCCTTGACATCTGGCAGGGGCAGCAGACCGCAGGACCAGCTTCTACAGGGCCACACCCGCCCTCCCTGTGCCCCTCCTCCAGTCTTCCCCAGGTCAGGAATGCCGCCGCCCTCCAGCTCCCCTGGATGTCGCGTTGGCCCCCTGGTGGTTCTCATACTTCTCTCCGTAGTACGAATCTGACCAAGGCCCTCCCCACCTTCTCTTCTTTGGGCTTTTCTCTGAGCTGGAGATCAGGCTAAACTCCCATCCAAGGTTGGGCATGAGCTGGCCCACGGGCTACATGGCCCTGAAGAGCACTGTGCCCACCCAGCTGCCCTCCCTGTGCCTTGGCCAGTGCCAGGCCCACTGCCTGGCATGCCTCTTCTTTGCTGACCTCCTGCTGATCCTGCAGGACTCAGCTTAGTTGCCATCTGTCCTAGGCAGCAAGGGGAGAGGCATGGGAGCCCCTTGACGCACCCCAGCACCCAGGCCCGCACCCATACCCAGCGAGGAACAGCTGGGCTTCTGCACAGCATGAAGCTTGTGGGCCTGTCCTTGCCTCCTGCCAGCATGGTTACATGGGAGTTTCCCGAAGTGGGGGCCAGAGGCCTCTGCGGTGCTGACCCAAGCTGTGGGAGTGTCTGAGCTGACAGAGAAAGCTCCAGCATTCCCAGGGCAGCTCTCAGACGATGCCAAGTGCCAGAGTGGAAGAAAGGCAGAGGGATTTCCTTGAAAGGTCCTCAGGGCTTTGCAAAGGGCAGTAGCTGCTGGGGAGGCCTGGGATGGACCCCGCAGCAGCCCAGCTGAGGGCCAGGAGGCTGTCTCCCAGCAGCCCCGTGTAGGCCTACACCTGTCCTGCCAGGCCCTTGGGTTCACCATGGCCCTGTGAGGCTGGATCCCGAGCACATGCAGGAGGCGGTGAGGGTGCTCAGTGTGGCCGGGGGTCGGAGTAGGAGCTGAGGTGGTGGGGAGGGGAAAGCTAGAGGGAGGGCTAGCTAGACGGAGGGTGAGCTGCAGGGCTCCCATTGTCCAGGGAGGCCTGAGAATTCGGGCTGTGAATTATAGGCAGTGCCTGCGGAGACCTGGGCTGCAGGGCCCACCAGAACTCTGGCAACCATGGATGGCAGAGTGGGCTGAGTGCGAGGGTGCCCAGGAGGACCTCAGCCACTGGAGATAGTGTGGGGGGAGCCTTCTTTTCTGGAGGCTGCTGCCGCAGGGAGCTTTGAAATTAGAAGTAGCTGGGAGCACAGGAAGGCCAGAGACCAGCTTGAAGGGCTTTGTGCTTCCAAAAACTGGAGAGGGGAGCAGCAGAGTGAAAGAGGCCTGTCTTACCAATGGTTTCAGCCCCTGGCAAGTTCACTATGGATTCAGTGTGACCAAAGAAATGACAGTAGAACGTTCTTGGGGTGAAAGGGTTATACCCAACTTTATTTCCAGGTGGCAGGTCAGTCACTAGAATCCCGTTCACTCAGAGCGAGTCTGCATGCAGCAAGCCAGTCTCCGCCCCTGGGCCCCTCTGTCCTCGGTGCTGCCACCACTCCAGCCTCTGCTCTGCTCTCCTGCAGTCTTGCAGCCCTACGACTATGTTGCCCAGAGCACTGGGTAGGGCTCTTTATATAGAGTCAATAACAATGCATTGCCCACACATGTGTAGTGAGCTAGCTAACCAGGGCCAGGTGAGAATCCTGGCCACAGGAACCTTCATTTTTTTTTTGTGAGAGGGCATCTCTCATATTTATTGATCAAATGGTTGTTAACAACAATAAAATTCTGTATAGGGGACTCAATGCACAATCATTAATCAACCCCAAGCCTAATTCTCAACAGTCTCCAATCTTCTGAAGCATAACAAACAAGTTCTTATATGGTGAACAAGTTCTTACATAGTGAATAAGTTCTTACATGGTGAACAGTGCAAGGGCAGTCATCACAGAAACTTTCGGTTTGATCACGCATTATGAACTATAAACAATCAAGTCAGATATGATTATTTGTTTGATTTTTATACTTGATTTATATGTGAATCCCACATTTCTCCCTCATTATTATTATTATTATTATTTTAAATAAAATGCTTAAGTGGTAGGTAGATGCAAGATAAAGGTAGAAAACATAGTTTAGTGCTGTAAGAGGGCAAATGTAGATGATCAGGTGTGTGCCTATGGACTAAGTATTAATCCAAGCTACACAAGGGCAACATAACATCCACGGATGCAGAAGATTTCTCTCAAAACGGGGGGTGAGGTTCTAACCCTCACCTCTGTTGATCCCCAATTTCTCACCTGATGGCCCCCCTGCGACTGTGCCTGTCTTAGGTTGTTCCTCCCTTGAGGAATCTTACCCGTCTCTGGCTAACCAGTCATCTTCCGGGGCCATACAGGGAAATGTAAAGTTGGTAAGTGAGAGAG